GTGGGAACAGGCCAAAAATAGCCTGTTCCTAAAACCCTGGTTTGGTGCCTGAGTGTTAGGGCAGGTCGATCTTATGAGGGCCCGAAAGTGGCCCTCCGTTTCAGGCTAAAAAGACTCAGGGCCTGGAAGGCCCTGTTTTAGGCTGAAATGAAATAGGGCCTGCAGGCCCTCGTATTCAGGCTTTCAGGCTGAAACGACACAGGGCCTGTAAGCCCTTATTTTCAGGCTTTTAGGCTGCGGACGCTGGTCGGGCCCTGCAGGCCCATGTGGCTGCGCAGTATGCCGCACCCCCCCCTCCTTGAAAGACCGAGCTTACCTGCGAGGGTGACGCTGTCTGTCGGAGGGAGGGACCACAGTCCAGGTGGGAGGGGCAGGTCGTGTTGTTCCCTTAGCTAACCTTTGTCGCTCGTAGTGAGCGGAGATCAGAGGTGCGGATGTTTTTAAATCTGCTCTTGAAATCCATCGACTGTCGTCGGGATCGCATGCTTTGAATGTAACCTTGTACTGTCGAGGCTTGCTGTCGTACTTGCGATCCGTGATGACGCGGTCAACTTCCTGATGACCATATCCATAGATGGAGGATCTTGCGATCTTCGGCCTGGGAAGTCGTCGCTCTTAGCTGGTGTATATGTGGCCAGCTTCGAGGCCTGGAAGACTAGATGGACCGTCAGATGCGGGGGGATGTTGATCACAAATGAGGGGCCATCGGGCTCATCGCCCGCGGCTGATGTTACGGGCCATGGTCCAAACCACTTGGGAAACAGTTTGCGTGAAACATCCTGCTCAAGTGCAAACTCTTCCGCGGAGACCCATACCAGATCACCAGTGCGGATGGGACATGGCACTCGACGCCTGTTGACTTGCTGCTGCATGCGGACTTGAGCCTTTTGCATGTTCGCGCGGGCTTGAGCTAGCAATTCCCTGTACTTCCGGACGTAAGCGGGGGAGCAAGCAGCGTCTATGTCGGTTGTTCGTGGAAGGAGAAGATCAGCGAAGATACGGCCTTTCCGGCCACCGTGGTGCAACTCGAATGGAGTCACGCCGATCGCCGGATGCAACTAAGTGTTGTAGTGGTGCAACTCGAATGGAGTCACACCGATCGCCGGATGCAACTAAGTGTTGTAGGCGAATTCGATGTCGGGGAGGCGGTCAACCCAATCCTTCCGATCCGGACGGATGAGCGTACGAAGCATCATTTGAGCGGTTTGATGTGCCCGCTCCGTTTGCCCGTCCGTTTGTGGATGCCGAGCCGAACTTGGTTTCATCCGTGTCGGATTCCTGCATGAGAGAAGTCCAAAATGCCGACATGAAGCGAGTGTCGCGGTCGCTGACGATGTCTTCTGGCACGCCGTGGCTGCAAATCCAGCCGGTGTGTAAGAGGCGCGCAAGTTCGGGAGTCGTGGCGTAGTACTTGCAAGGAAGAAATCGCGCATACTTACTCAAACGGGCAACGACCGTGAGGATGTCGTCGTGCCCGAGGCGGTCGTGGGGAAACGGACCGATGACGTCCATGGCAATGGAGAGRCCGGGTTCCCGTGGGATAGGCATCGGGCGCAACTCGCTGTAGGGATTGCGGTTGCGGGGCTTGGTTCATCGGCAAACTTCGCAAGAGTCGCAATACCGAGTGACATCGGTAATGAGGTCGGGCCATCGGAATCGTTGCCGAAGTCATGCAATAGTGCGATTGACTCCGAAATGGCCGGCGAGTCGTGAGTCATGGTACTCACCGAGAAGGCGAGTCCGAAGACGACGGTCTCGTGGGACACACAGTAAGTCCTTGCCTCTCGAGTGGAGGAGCAAGTACCCCTCGATGATGCAATAGTGGCTGGCCGACGGGTGATCCGAAGATAGTTGTGCATACAACGTGGCGAAATCCGGATCAGACTCATAGCCCCGGATGAAGTGTCGCTGGAGTTCCTCGTCGAATGCGAAGGCATGATGTGTCATAGCGCAAAGATCGGGTCTTCGCGAGAGTGCATCTGCTGCGTGATGGGAGAGGCCAGCGAGATGTTTCGGTGTGAAGTCAAATTGGTCGATGAAGTACATCCATCGTCCGATCGTGCTGCTCACCGTATCCCGCATCTTGTAGTAGGTCAATGGGTTGTTGTCCGTGACCCGTGTGAACCTACGACGCCCAAGGAGGAAGTGTCGCCATTGCTTGAGAGCCACCACGAACGCGAGCAGCTCCTTCTTCCTTGCATCATCAAGTGAATTGATGGGAGGCACTTTGTGGCTGAAATACTCCACGGGGTGCCAGTCGTCGTCGTGGTGTTGTTCCAAAACTGCTCCAATGCTATAGCCGGAAGCGTCAGTTGTCACTCTCATTGGCAGGGTGGGGTCGTAGATGCTAAGGACGGCTGCCATGAGCATGGCCATCTTGAGTGCTTGGAATGACCGGCGTGCGTCGTCATCGAATATGAATGGCACCTTTGGCGATTGTAATCTCGTCACAGGTGCGACAATCCTTGAGTACCCGGTGATGAAGCGTTGATAGTAGCCTGCCAACCCCATGAATGAGCGAACGTCCGTGGTGTTGGTGGGCTCTGACCATACGCGGATGGCCTCGATCTTGTCCGCAAGCGGACGGATGCCTTGCGGCGTCACATAATGTCCCAAGTACTCCAGCTCTTGCCGTGTGAATTTGCATTTGTTGCAGTTGGCTTTGTACTTGGCTTGTCGTAGCCGCTCCAAAACGGTGCGCATGTGCTCCACATGCTCGTCCAAACTCCGACTGTACACCAAGATGTCGTCAAGGTAGATGAGTACGAATCTATCTAGCATGTGTCGGAACTCCGTTGTCATAGCCGCTTGGAATGTGGTCGGGGCATTCATAAGGCCAAAAGGCATAACCAGCCATTCGAAATGCCCATATCGCGTCTTAAACGCGGTGTTGTAGCGGTCCTCCTGCCGGATCTCGAGTTGATGATATCCCGATTTGAGGTCAAGCTTGGAGAAGAACTTAGCGCCGCCCAGCCGTTCGAGGAGGTCGTCGATGCGCGGAAGAGGGCCGACGTTCTTGACGGTTTGTGCGTTGAGCTTGCGATAATCGATGCACAACCGCAAATCCTTGTTCTTCTTCCAGACGAAGAGAACGGGGGCAACGTATGGCGAAGAGTCAGGCCGAATCCAGCCTTCCTCGAGAAGGTCGTCGAGTTGTGCCCGTAGCACACTTAACTCTTCCTTGCTCATGCGGTAGATGCAACCACGCGAAGGTACGGCCCCGGCCTCAAGGATGATTTCGTGGCGGATGGGCCGATCCGGTACTACTCCGTGCGGGGCTTCGAACACGTCGCCGTAGGCATCGAGAAGCTCGCTGATGCGTGGGTCCTGTGGTGAGTCCGTCGATGGAATGGCTTGGGGCGGGAGGGCGTGGAGAAAACACACCCCATCTCCTCGATGTCATCCCTGATGATGGAAGCTCGAATGCTTGCGGCGGACACCACGTGGCAGTTGATCGAAGGGTGAGGAGGAGGCACCGTGCATGGGACTAGTACTTCGGTCCGATCACGAACGTGAACGGTGCGGCGGTAGAAGTTCACCAGGTGATCCTCGCTTCGTAGCCATGACATACCCAAGATCATGCCGAACTTGGTGTCCAAAATATGGAAGGACACGGCCTAGCTTGCATGCGGGGCAAAGTACATGGGGATGGCATCAATGCACCGGTCGATTGACTTGTGCGTGTGACCGTCGGCCAACGTGACTTTCATGGGCTGCGACTTCCTCCGAACGCGTGGCCCAAGGCCAGCGCGTACCATAAAGTCTTGGCTCATGTAGTTGCGAGTAGCTCCGCAATAGATCAAAGCGCTGCAGGTCGCCTCTCCGATCTGAATGCGTATATACAACAATGGCGCGTCGATGTCGTCGTACCGTTGTGTCTTGAACTCGCTGTCGATCTTCTCAACGTAGTCGTGAAGGTCGACAACTTCTACTCCGACGTCCATCAATGGAGTTGGTACTGCAGTGTGCAAGTAATCCCGCAATTGTGCCATGAGAACGTTGCAATGCGGTTTCGGCAATCGACCGGACGGGGGAAGGGGCATCCATTGGAAGTCCGCAAACGTCAACGGGTCGAGCTCTTCAAGTCTTGACCATGTCGTCGAATCCCCGGCAATAGATGGCGGCGAAGCTGCCGAATCGGTTGCCGATGGTAGTGAAACTGTGCATGCGGTGGATTGTTGCACGTGGAGTGGTTGGTCCAACAGTGGGACCAAGTGGACAGCATAATCCTCGTAAGTGAACCGAGGACTTGCGACATTCGCATCCTCCCCAGATGTGTAGGAGGCCGCTAGCAAGGCGGCCGAATCTGGCGGAGTGAGAGGTGGAGTCGCCTCACCTCCTGCGCAACTCAGTTTCCCGAGTTGATGCGAGGCCGAACATCCTCCTTGCCTTGCTGTTGCACCAATAACAGCAGCCATACCGGTCGCGCCACTTGTATTCGGTCTCAGTCAAGTAAAACTTGACCCATGGTGCTGGCTGTCCGTTTCCGGCCGGCGATGCGGTTTTTGCCTTCCTTTTTCCTCGGGAGTTGTTGCTTCGCGGCTGGACAACAGCCACCTGATCTCCCTCACGTGATGCTTGGGTGGCTGTCGGGTCTTCCACAATGTTGTTCGGTTGGACTGCAGCGACTTGCTGTGGACGCGGGCCAAATTTTCCTTTCTCCACATAGGTTGGCTGCCATGCTAACTTCTCGTGTGCAGCTGCCCTATTGGTCTTGATGATCTCCCTTGCCTTGTCGATGATTTTGGCGAAGGTCGTGTATTGCTCGCGATCACCAAGTGCATGGCTCAAGGCGGCACATGACCGGTTGTAGAACTCCCGACGCAGATGCGAAAATGGCAATTCGAGATCGAGCGTTGCCGCGATCTTTTGCCATTCCGTGAGCCAGTCGTGTGTCGATGTGTTGCCTTGCGTCATAGCGAAGAGGCGGTTAATGGCGAGCGCCAGGGCGTCGTCCACGATGAACCACTTCTTCCATAGCCTTGTTAACTCTTCCCAAGAAATCTTCTCATGCAGATCTGCAACCTAGACGGCGTGAATGGTTGCCAGGTGGTTGAGCCAGATCTGGCATCCGCCCTTTGAGTTGAGGAACAGCGCGCCGATGTACGAGTGCTCGGGGACGAAAAGAATCCGAAGTTGCGTCGTAAAGCCCTCCCACCAGGGGACCGGGTCTTGATGTGTATAATCATCGAACTTTTCGATTTGGAATGTCGGCATCTTGTAGTGCTGCGCACTGGTGTTGCCATCCTTGTTGGGCCGCTGGTGCAGTTGCTGAACCTCGGTCTTCAAGGTGTCCAACTGCTTGCAGATGGTGGCTGGTGCAGCGAAGGTGCTGATGTCGCCGAGCATTGCGACTACGTGGTCAACTCGTTCCTCCAATTGGCGGGTAGAGGGTGCACTGCTGGACTCGCCAGCATCTGGTCTTGGTGCAACTTGCTCCAAGTCCTGTACACGGGAATCAAGTGCCCGTGTAGCATCCTCGTGCAGATCCTTGTGGTTCCGCACCGCCTGTCGGAGGTTCGCCAGCTCGGACTGCAGGTGGTTACAAGTGTAAACCAACGGGGTCACGAGTTTGGCCAGGAACTCCTTGTGCTGCTCTTCCGGTGTCGCGTCTTCGTGCTGCTCTGATGGGTCAAAATGCCAGAACTTGAGCTTTTCGATGCTGGCAGCTTCGTGCCACTGTAGCAGATCCTGGGCCTCCTTGCGGTGTGCCTGGGTATCTGTGTCTGCTTCGGCCTGAAGCCGCTGTTTTTCAGCTGCTGCCGCCGCTTCAGCTTGTAGGCGGGCAGCCTCGGCTGCCGCCTGATGCTGTTCCTCAGCCTCGGTCAGTGCGAGCTGAGCTTCAAACCGCTGTCGGTACTCGGCAATGGACTCATTGGCCAGTTGGCCTGGCATGCCCAGAACTGAGACCGTCATGGTGGTGTTGCTGACATGGCATTGCTGACGTGGCACTTCTGACGTGGCACTTCTGACGTGGCACTTCTGACGTGGCACTTCTGACGTGGCACTTCTGACGTGGCACTGCTGATGTGGCACTGCTGATGTGGCACTGTTGCTGATGTGGCACTGCTGATGTGGCACAGTTGGTGACATGGCACTGTTGCTGACGTGGCACTGTACCAAACCGGGAATGCAGGCAAAGGGTTGGGTGGGAGGGAAAACGCAGGTAGGTAACCAACCAAGCTATACTTTCCTCCCAGTCCTAATCAACAGAATATAATAAAATAAAAAAATAAAAGAAGAGGATCACAC